GTGTCTCAGATCTTTATTTTTATATATATATATGTGTGTGTATGTGTACATATATATTTTCTCTGTTGGATGCCCTTGAAGGATTTTTGAGATTCTGTTCGGTTCTCCCTTTTACCTTTGTGACTATGCTGTGTTTGTTGCCCGAATTGCGTAAGATCTAATGGAGCATATTTTGTGATGCACAGAATACCTGTGAAGGGATTTCAATGTAAATGCTCTCGATAATGAAGATACTCATAAACTAAGTTTACCTGTGTCTTAGTGGCTTTATTTTAAACCACATGTTCTGTGATTGTAAATGTGTCATCCCATCCCATTACCATGACCTATGTTTATTGTTTTTCTGGTTACTTGTACCAAATAGATGTCGACCTGTATAAGAATGTTCAGCTTGTATACTCATTTTTGTTTCTGTCTCCTTTTGTTACCAAATAGTGAAAAAATTTCTATACTTAAGCAGACTTTGTGCAAACAAGTATTTTTCGACTTGAAAGAAGTGTTTGTTATTAAAAGAAGCAGCAATGATAATATCTTGAGTCAATTTTATTTGTTTTAGTTTTTTACTGAAATATTGTATGTATTAGGAGTACGACAGATGCAGTTCATATTTATTATTAAAACATATTTATTATATAGTGTATTATTATAAATAATTTAAGTAACTTACATGTGTAATACTATTTAAAACACCGAAATAAGTAGTAACGCAAACTAACCCTATCTGTGGTAGACTGGCGCGAAATTAAGAATCCTACTATGAAAACAAATAATTTATTTAGTTTTTCCGACGTTCAGACCAGTAACCTAATAAATGTTAGCTTGCGCGCCGTTGATTCACCAGTAGACTGGCGCCCGCTTAGCAACGTCTGCTTTTCAGCCAATCATGTAAGTCTACTGGGTAAACGTCGTGCAACGTCATGAATATTCATAAGCAGCCCTTCACTGTAGAACAGCGAATTGGAGGCGGGGTAAAGGCAGAGCCGAACCGGCGGGGTTGGTGGGGCACGGATGGACAGATCATATCACTCCTTTCCCGTCTTTTGTAGTCAAGGAAGGAGAAAAATGGCGCCTACACATGTACTGAGATGCTGCCAGAGGGGTCTGGCGTGGATACCGGTGATATTTATTGCCTTAGTGGTGTGCTGGTCGTATTATGCGTACGTGGTGGAGCTGTGTCTGTGTAAGTGCGCTTTATTATTAATATCTGTGGGGCACGCGCCTGCCGGAAGTCACTTAACTGAAACATCATGGTTTGTTTACATGAGCTGGCTAATTAGCGTACTGATTTTAAACTGGAAGCAAAACAGCAAGGATTATGGTTTTGGAGCATATGTTGTGCTTTACACCGTATTCAAGATCAGGAAGTCTTTATAAGCTGGGTGGTGACAACTGTATTTGTTTATTTTGCAGTTAATCATTTTAATGTAAATTAATATTTATATTTAGTCATGCAACATTATATTATTATAAAATAATAGTTACAGTGTTACAGTAGGAAACCTGTGAAAGGTTTAGTGACGCGTCCAGGTTCTTCCTCTTTAGAAATCAGATTTGTTGAAAATGTATATTTTCAGTATGGAAAATATGCCTGTTATAAGTTTATAAGCAAACATGTTAACGAAGTCAAACCTCAAGTCTTCTGTCACATGTCCAAGTAAAGTGTATTTCATATTTCAGCTTTGTTCATAGAAGCAGAAGTGTGATAAAGCAGATGTGCCAGGAGTCATATCTGCTAAACAGTTCTTTTCTCTTTCTTTCTGTTTTATATTCTCTGTAGTTACTATTCCCAGCACTCTTGAAAAGGGTGAGTAAACCTTCACTTTTTTTAAGGAAAAAGCCAAGTTAAGGATAATGTACAGTCATGATGTTGCATCACCTTTAAGGTGTTTATATGCTGACTGTATATAATCCAGTTTCTTCCTCTTTAATTTACTATATATATATATATATATTAATTTTTTTTGTAAATTAATGAGGACGAAACTGGAAACTGCATAAGTGTGTGTGTGTGTGTGTGTGTATATATATATATATATATATATATATACACACATATATGTATATGTATATATATATATATATATATATATATAATGTATCACAACGCAATAGATTATAATTAATAATATATAACAATTTATACTATATATAATTAATGTATATACTTTATTTAATATATTAAATACTTTTATTTATAAAGTATCATGAGGCAATTAGTATAAATATACTATTTATTTAATAATATAATGTATATATAAAAATACAAAATGTATCACGATGCAATTTAATATACTTATATTATAATTTGCAATAGTTTATATGCAATTTTTAAATAGAATAATTAAATAATTTATTATTATACTTATTATTATTATTATTATTATAAAACATTATATATATATAAAATGTATCATGATGCAATTAGTACGGAAGTTCTAAGAGGCCATGGATTATACAATTTTTTTCTTGTTTTGTCGTGATAACGACTTAATTATCGTGATCTCGACAAGTTATTTTCTCGTTACATCGACATAACGAAAGTTGTTTTCTCGTTATCACGACTTAATTTTCTTGTGATCTCGACATACAATCTGTTCTCTAAGTTACAAAACTGTGCCAACAGGTGGCACTATTGACCTGAATATAACTGATGGGGTGATGTATACTGTATATCCACTTTACTGCACATGTTTGGGACAGAATAAGGACCTTTTTCATGATCACTATAATTTGTGCAGTATTGATCATTACTGACATTTAATTAATTCATAAAGCAACACCGCAAACACAGGCGGAGCGCCTTCAGAAGGATGCAGAGAACTATTCTAAAATCTGCTTAGATTCAACTCACTTTATTTTCCTTTTATTTGAAATAAAATTATATAGAATTTGTCATTTTTAGTAGTCATAGAGATATGCTGTGACTGATATCATGTGCGTTACAAGTTTTGGATGCTGTTTGAAAAGAGAGTGTGTGTGTGTGTGGTTTCCACAAAGAAATGTAGAAAACTGTACAACACTGTAGAACATCACTTAATTAAATTAGCCTATAGGCTACACTTTACATATATAAATCACATTTCTTATCAATATACATTTAATGATTAATAAGAAAAAGATGCACATTACAAATATGTCGTTGAAGCGCGTCCTAGATAAACACAACATCCGCTTATTAACTAGCAATCATGAAGGCCTACTTCAAAGATGCACAAATAAAGATATAGGTGCAAACAGAATACAGTGACGTCAACACTGGTTTTAATAAGCAGTTCGTTTATGACACCGAACACTATGCGGTGGTGAAACTGTTGAGTCATGCATCTAGCAAGAACTAAACGATAGACAAAATAATCATATTGATTCAAGCATTTAACATTTATGAATTAATTTAATGTCAGTACTGAACAATACTGCACAAATTATAGTGATCATGAAGAAGGTCCTTATTCTGTCCCAAACGTGTGCAGTAAAGTGGATATACAGTATACAACACCCCATCAGTTATATTCAGGTCTATAGTGCCACCTGTTGGTACAGTTTTGTAACTTAGAGAACAACTTTCGTTATGTCGAGATCACGAGAAAATATTAAGTTGTGATAACGAGAAAACAACTTTCGTTATGTCGATATAACGAGATAATTAAAGGGGTCCTATTATGCTCTTTTACAAAGTCTTGATTTTGTTTTGGGGGTGTACTAGAACATGCTCTCATGCTTGGTGGTTCGAAAAACACATTATTTTTCACATAATTTACATTATTACAATACCTCTCTCCCCAGGCTGGCACAAACGGCTCGATTAGTTCCGGCTTTGATGAAGGTCCGCCTTCCGAAAAACAAAATGTGTTGTGATTGGTTAGCTGTCCCAGTGTGTTGCGATTGGCGAACAGCTTAGATGGTGTTTCAGTACTGCCCCGCCCCTTGCTCCATCTTTCAACAAAACTTTTTGGCGAATCTGGCACTTCTCACTCGTGATGTGTAAGCTGTCCTCAGTAAAATGCGCAGCACACAATAGGACTCAACCAAGCGTTCTTACCACGACCTCGCCCCTCCTCACCCCCTCCAATTTCTGTAGGCGGGAATTATTTGTAATGATATTCCAATGAGCCGCTTTGTGATATCATAAAGTCCGGAAACCAAACGCTGTAGTCCAAACGAGCCGTTCGTTGTAGTTCTTGAAAATTGATTTTTTAAAAACTAAATATCTCCCTTTGGAGTGGACTTTGAGATTTGTAACTTTCTAGATATTTTTTATGCTCAAACATACACACTACACACTGACTAAAATTAAAAAAGTGAAAAGGCATAATAGGACCCCTTTAAGAGTGATCATGAGAAAATAACTTATGTCGAGTTACGAGATAATTAAGTCGTTATCACGACAAAACAAGAAAGAAAAAAAATTTAATAACCCATGGCCTCTTAGGACTTCCGTAAATTAGTATAAACATATAATTTATTTAATATAACAATGTTATATAAAACATTATAAATAAATAAATATTTATTTATATAATATATTATAATAATGTATATATAATTTATAAATATAATATATAATTTAATTCAACATAAAATAAATCTATCACAATGCAATTAATATATACAGTTTAATAATTATTTATTACTAATATAATGCAACTTTAAAGCATTTAAATGCAATTATGTTCAATTGAAACCTGCATTAAAAAATATTTTAAAAAATGTATCCAAGCAATATAATTTATTTAAGTTATTATTATTATAATTTTATAAAATAATGATTTTATGATGAACATAAACTGCATTATAATTGATGATAATAATTTATATAATTTAATTCAACATATAAAATAAATGTATCACAATGCAATTAATATAAATATACAGTTTAATAATTTATTACTAATATAATGCAACTTTACATTCTTTTGTATTTATTGATGATCCTCATTGTAATGCAATTACAGTGGGGAAAAAAAGTATTTAGTCAGCCACCAATTGTGCAAGTTCTCCCACTTAAAAAGATGTTAAAATCTGCATTAAAAATATAACAAGTATCAATGCAATAATACATAATTTATAAAATGATTATTATATTTTTTTATAAAATGATTTTATGATACATTATAATTTTTTATAATTTATAATAGTATATCATTTATTATAGAATAGTTAATACTATATAATAAAAAAGAAAGTGTCATTGAATTCTCCAATCAGACTCACATGATCTAGTAGTTCCTGTAGATCTTCTGTGGCCGTTTTCTGGTTCTTGGGTGTTACGGTGACGACAGTGATGGGACTCGCAGGCAGCACTGGGAAAAACAGCTCTAACTCTGTCCAAAACCAACAACGATTCGATTCAAAAACTGGAAGTGTGAAGAGGTTGGACATGTTCTATGAGACGCAGTACCTTTCTTCAGCAGCTCTGGGCAGGAATGCATGGAACACTCCACAGCTGACTGACTGAAATAGTGCTCAGCTTTCCTGACTCTCTGCGCCGTCAGAGACGCTTCTTTACCCTGAACAAACAAAAGAATCAGCAACACGACTGAAGAACCAAAGGGTGTCTGAGCAGATTTTTACCTGATACTCATTCACAAACTGAGCGAGGATGAACTCGTGTCTCTCTGTGCTGGATGGGGCACTTAAAACGTCCGGGACCGTCCTGTGAACTGGCCCCATCATCTGTAACCTGGTACCCTTCAGGTGACAGTCGAAACCCACATTGCCTGGCAACTGGAAGCGCTGATCCTGAGGCCCAAACGGACCCATGGTCTCATCTGGCCACACTGTCCTGGGACCTGTCAGACAGACCATTACATTACCTTTCATTTCAAAGCACCATTGGCCAGTTGGCCATTTTAAGCTATAAATAAATATATATATAATGTAATATTTCAATATATATAATATATAAAAATATAAATGACAAAAAAAATACATTCATATATATATATATATAAATTAATGTGTGTATAATATATAAAAGAAATATAGTACAAAATACTATAATATTCTCACACACACATCACATTATATACTGTTACACTATAATATTAAACACACTATATAAATAAATTAACATTAAGTATATATATAAATAATATTAAAATACATCATATTTTATATTGTTGTATGCTATAATAATTAAAATATGAATAAATATAAAATATAAATAAAAATAAACTATTTTAATGTTAATAATATAAATAAATTACATATAGATAGTTACACTTTATATTAAATATTTAATGTTCAACAACATATTAATAGAATATTCTATATATAAATCCTATATAATAAATAATATAATGTAAATATATTAATATATTTATATTAATAATTAGAATATATTAACAAATAGAATAATTTTATAACATACCTTAGTGTGTGTATATATATATATATATATATATATATGCATAAAATAGTTAAAATATATATTTTATATTGTTAGCTACTTTAAACATTTAATGTTAAATATATTAATAAAACAAAAATATTAATAAATAAAATGTTAACAATTTCATAATTTCTAATGTTATAAATTAGATTAAATTGATTAACTTTAAACGCATATTTATAACATAAATATCACAATTTATTTATATATATATTTTATGTTTATATTATAATATATATATAAATCATATATATATAATACACACTTTAAATTTTTTTTTAATTAAATATCTATCTATATGTATGTATATATGTGTATATATATATATATATATATATATATACCCTTTATAATAATCCCTTACGAAAATTAACCATGGTTTTACTACAAATGAAAGCAAAAAATCATAGTTACTATAGTTAAACCATGGTAACCACAAATGAACCATGTTTTTCCACAACTAACCATAGTTTAACCCTAGTATTTGTAGTAAAACTGTGGTTATACAAATGGTAATCAATACGCCAAAAACCATGGTTACTAAACTTTTACTACAATAAAACCAAGATGTTGATGTAACAGAAACGTTCATAATATGCATTACACACCTGAGTTTTGAGATGGCACAGCTATATAGGGCTCATCTGATCCAGACGAACCCGCGGCTGAAAATCCTCTGATGGCCACGATCCTCTGAGCCAGTGTGAGAACCACAGACGACTGACTCCGCTGTCTGACCCTCCTGCACAGCACCTGCATTAATAACACACACCCACACACTGTACAGACAGACAGACACATGAAGAACTGAAGCAGCAGTCTGTGGAACACTCACACTCGCCATAATGTGTGCACAGCTCCCCCTCACTGCACCCTGCAACAAACAAATACATACAACACTCTTTCCACAGGACAATGAACAACAAGAAGTTATATCATATGAAGTATTATATACATGTAAAAAAACATGTTTTTTATTTTTATTAAAATAAAGATTCTCATAGTAGACACATATAATTTGAGCCAGTGTTTCTATGCATTAAATTATATAAAACATTATTATATTAAAAAAATGTGTTTGAGCTTTTAATCAGCTCAAACCCACACTGTTATGATCCTCTCACTTTCATCTCAAACACGACTAAAGAACGATACAAACCGCGACTTTAGTGTCACACGGTGATCGACATGACACGGGTGTAATCGCGATTTGTCATTCTTTTTCAAGTGTTTTTAAGGTAAAGTACAGCGTGTTCTCCACTTGCCCAGTTAGTCTTCACAAGGCTCTGCGGATCACGTTCGCACGCCGAGCGTCATGACGTCACGACGGAGCGCCGCACAGCACAAAAGCCGCAGAAGAAAAAATTCTTCTTGTCTAATAAAGTTGTTGAAGTCTCTATCAAAATGATCCATAACTGTTATCCGGTAAATTACAAACGTGCTAAATTTAACAATAGTATTTCCCCCAATTTGCTCCCAATTGCTCCTTTTGACAATCAATCATTTATTTTGGGACTGTGCTTATTCTAAAGTGTTCTGGGTTGACTTTTCCAATTTTATTAAAAAATATTTATATCCAAACTTTTGTATAACCCCAAACATTGTGTTTTTTGGTTACTCCTTGAATTGAGATCTTTCTCGGTGTAAATGTATTATTAATCTATTGCTATATCTTGCTAAATTTTACATTCACAAGTGTACATTTTCAAAGAAAACTCCCTACTTTTTTATTTTCAGGAAATATTTTGATGTATATGTAAACTCTTTAAGAAACTCTAATAATTTGCTCCCAATTGCTCCTTTTGACAATCAATCATTTATTTTGGGACTGTGCTTATTCTAAAGTGTTCTGGGTTGACTTTTCCAATTTTATTAAAAAATATTTATATCCAAACTTTTGTATAACCCCAAACATTGTGTTTTTTGGTTACTCCTTGAATCGAGATCTTTCTCGGTGTAAATGTATTATTAATCTATTGCTATATCTTGCTAAATTTGACATTCACAAGTGTACATTTTCAAAGAAAACTCCCTACTTTTTTATTTTCAGGAAATATTTTGATGTATATGTAAACTCTTTAAGAAACTCTAATGATTCTACTGCATGTAAGACTCTTTCATGGTGTAAATCTTATAAGCTAACACAGTATGCTTTGGAGTATTGTTTGTAACCCTTATTGTCTTTTGTTCTCACTTGTCTTTGTAATTGTATTTGTTGTTCTTCTATTGCATAATAAAAAAAAGCCGCAGAAGAAAAGTCAAATGTGTTGAGTGATTAAATAAAAAGGAAAAAAGCCTCGAAAATGTTCAAATAAGTAAATAAATAAATATTATTTAAAATCTTAACAATATTCAAATTTATATTAATTAACATTAAATGCACATATAACTAATAACAATAACACGTTAAAAGTTAGATGTTATTATTTATAAATGTATTTAACTGAAATATGTATTGTTACTATTTATTAAACATTCAATGTTAAACATAAAATATATTAATAAATATACTAAAAAATATATCAGTACAGAAAAACAATATTACAATTATATATATATATATATAACTTGTGAAATAGAAAATATACTAGGTTTATTGTAATAATTAATGTCGACTACTAGTTGTAGTAGACCAATGATATGATAGAGAGTACAATAAAAGTATTTTTATTTACTTTTATATTATGGCGGGCTAAATAACTAAAAATTAAATCATTAAATAAATGTTGAAATATATAAATAAATCTTTAAATTCATATCTCACTTGTCTTTGTAATTGTATTTGTTGTTCTTCTATTGCATAATAAAAAAAAGCCGCAGAAGAAAAGTCAAATGTGTTGAGTGATTAAATAAAAAGGAAAAAAGCCTCGAAAATGTTCAAATAAGTAAATAAATAAATATTATTTAAAATCTTAACAATATTCAAATTTATATTAATTAACATTAAATGCACATATAACTAATAACAATAACACGTTAAAAGTTAGATGTTATTATTTATAAATGTATTTAACTGAAGTATGTATTGTTACTATTTATTAAACATTCAATGTTAAACATAAAATATATTAATAAATATACTAAAAAATATATCAGTACAGAAAAACAATATTACAATTATATATATATATAACTTGTGAAATAGAAAATATACTAGGTTTATTGTAATAATTAATGTCGACTACTAGTTGTCGTTAAAAGTTAGATGTTATTATTTATAAATGTATTTAACTGAAGTATGTATTGTTACTATTTATTAAACATTCAATGTTAAACATAAAATATATTAATAAATATACTAAAAAATATATCAGTACAGAAAAACAATATTACAATTATATATATATATAACTTGTGAAATAGAAAATATACTAGGTTTATTGTAATAATTAATGTCGACTACTAGTTGTAGTAGACCAATGATATGATAGAGAGTACAATAAAAGTATTTTTATTTACTTTTATATTATGGCGGGCTAAATAACTAAAAATTAAATCATTAAATAAATGTTGAAATATATAAATAAATCTTTAAATTCATATCTAAATAAATAAATGCATAAATAAATAAATATTATATTTATTTATTCATTCATTCGTTTATTTATGTATTTACCTATTTATTCATTTATTTAATTAAATGAATGAGTGTTTATTTATTTATGCATTTATTTAATTTTATTTACATTAATTTACGTATTTAATTATGTATTTAACGATTTATTTATATATTTATTTAATGATTTAATTTTGAGTAGTTTGGCCCTCCATATTAAATCGTCTTGCCTTTATATTTAGTACACCGAGAAGAAATGATAATTATTGTAAATAATATTGTTATCATCATCATTATTCTATTTCATTATCCGTTATTAATTTCCTCTGTCAGTCTCATAGACTGTATAAAAACAGGTCAGTCTTCAGCGGTCGTCGTGAACCACAATCACGCATGCGTTGACAGGCAACGTCCACTAGGTGTCAGCAAAAGCGAAGCGAACGCTTGCTGTTCTGCAGCTGTGCCACTGATCTAGAATAGAGAATATTATTATACAGATCAGTGAGCTCTGCTAAAAATGTCATTTTAATGGCACTATAAGAAATCACAGACAACAACAAAGAGCAAAGGAGAAAGAGAAAGCAGTGGCAGGGTTATAAAAGAGCGGGAAGCTGTCATGAGGTGAATGTCGCTGCACAGGAAGGTTAGACAGGACGAATGTGTCAGCAGGCCACAAAAAGCCTGTTTGAGGGGCAACGTGTCTCCCTGAAGACTGACGCGTCCTCACAACGCAGCGAGCGAGGTTTGTGCCAGAGGCTTAGATATTCACTCCCGCATCTGCATCACTAGCGGCCGCACGCCATCTGGTCAGCAGCAGGTCTCGGAGACGGGTGGATCGCATGGGAGCAGGGTTGCCAGGTTTTCACTACAATTGCTGCTCAAACCAAAGCAACTAGAAGGCAAGCCTGCAACCATTAGCCAAAAAAGTGTACTGGCTAATGCTAAAGGTCATTGCACACTGGGTCCGAAATTTTCCAAGTATAGGTCTCTGCAGGAAAGTAATGGGAGTTACCAAATCGGGGCGTTTTTAGACCAAGTTTCCTGATTGCCTGTGACGTCATAGTGACGGTAGGTTTAGGGGTGGGGCTAGGTAAGAGGGATCATTTTGATTGGATGATTGAGAAACACCCTGCAGTTTGAAAACACCCACAAATTCAGAAACGCCCACTTTTGCTCTGCAGAGACCGCCATCTCAAATTTTCACACATTAAAAAATAAATACGACCTCGTGTTGTGTCAATCACATTTACACACTTGCCTCCAAAACTTTCGTCCATCATAAAAAAAATTCAGATAGGGTTTGATTTTCTGCGTTTTTCGCATCTGTAGCAAGCATTTTCAGAGGTGTTTTGACAACTCAGAGCCAACGTAGAAGCAGAAGCCAAAATTGTATGCTGGTTTCAATGCCTGGCGCGCACCTTTCCAATGCCACAGTTTGGTGCGTGTGTGTCCTTACCATAGATACACTGCCAGTCTCTATTCAGGAACAATTGTTTACGGAAATTGTTGGTCTTCTTTTAAATATGTGTTTCTAGCATTGCTACCAAAGCATCAAAATCCTGTAGTAAAGTTTGAATCGCTCGGGATGATCCCACAGCTCCTTGATGAGGTGGAACTCTCCTTCGGAATAACGCATTGGACTCGGTGTGCAAGGTTTCTGTGAGTGACTATTTTTTTTAGTATGATGAATACGGAAAAAACGCATATGAAAATTTCGGACTCAGTGTGCAAAGACCTTTACGGAAAGGAGACCAGAGGCGTTAAAATTTTTTTTTGAATGGATGTCGATGGAGGAGAGGCTTCACTACGCTGAATAAAAAGCTTTTTAGAGGAAACGGCTTATCGTTTAATGAATCGCCTATCGGTTGATCTTCAACATGTTTTACACTAAACAATAATTTTGGATTGAACAATTTTTTGAGTTTACACCGAAAAAATTGCTGTTTTAAAAGAGACGTCAATGACTTTTTGCAACAGGTGGGATTCAGTTTATGGCACTTCTCATTTATTCCTATGGGATCCGTAAACGGCGATTGAGTTTCGTCCCCAACTTTGACTGAAATTCAGTGACGTCAAGGCTGTAATGTGATTGGTTATTATGGCACACGTGATCCAAGTTAGCCGTTACGCTTTCTCCAATACAGACCCTCTCATCTCCCAATAGTAAGACAATTTCTGCTCAAACTAGCCTAATACTAGCCCAATCACATTTCGAGGGGGGTCCCCAGGTAAAAATCAAGTTTTTTGGTGTGGTTCCACTGATTACAATCTCATTTTAGGGGCTATATATCACGTTATTGGGGTCGCTTAAACCCACGGATATGAAAAACAACCCGCGGCAACAGTGGCCCTGTCCAAAATCGCACCCTAAACCCTCGCGGTCTTCCTCTGAGTCCGCACTTTCGTGACATAATGCCACTTTGACTGTCTGGTAGAAAGAAGTCTGCTGCGAAGCTCGTGCCGCACTTCTGCCAAACCTGCACCGAGGGCGCAAAGGGGGCGCTCGCGAGCACCCTTCTGAACGTAAAAATGACAAATGGGACACCTTACGGTCTAATGGATTTAAGGGACACACGCACGCGGCAGCCATTGTAAGTCCGTAAGACCGCAAGTGCACATGAAGTGTTCCATTTGGGACAGGGCCAGTGTTGAGGTAG